CACCACATAACCCCCGCCACTTGTGAGCCGTTCTGTGGTACTGCCCGGGTACAGAGCCTGAGCACCGAAGTGTTAACACCTCCACAGAGGTTCCGCATTGCTTAAAATACCCCAAATAATGGATTTGGGTGGGATTTTGTATTGTCTTTGCTTTGGAGATGGTTATAAAAGGAAAGCTGCAGGTGAGGGTTTTGTCCTGTTCTCTCCACAGAAGTTCCGAAACGTTTTGGACCACGACAGGCATGTTCCCACAGGAATTCATTGTTGGTTTTCCTAAATGTGTGAAAATCAGCAGAGTCGCAATCCAGAGTTACTTGGGTAAGACTTTACTGCAGTAACATACGTCCCATGTTACAATCTGTGCCTGTAGGCGAATGCTCACAGTAGTGTAAGTGTTGTATTCTAGAAGTAGCCACTTTTAACGGGTTCATTAAGATTTAACTTCACAAAACAATCATCCTTCACATCCAAAGCTTTTAATAAGTAAAAAAAGATGGAAAATCTACCCCACCTGCACTTCATTCTTGTAACACTCATATGGAGCTTATAACTGTTCTGTTGCACAGCAATGGTTGTTCTAATTTAATGGGCAGGACTATGATACTTAATGAGTTATTTTTATATACTGATTTTTGTAATTTCATAGGACAGAACTCTCTTAGTCTTCCTTTTTTTAAATAACGTGAAGGAAAATGTGAGTTCCAAAACATAAAGGACTGATACAAGGTCAGAGCATGGAGACAGGAGCTTGACCATGAGCAAAAGCTACACAAAAGACATGAGAACTTTTTGTTGTTCGTCCAGCTTGGAACATGAGGGTGGTGGTTGTGTTATAGTTCTGCTCCATAAGTTAGTGGAAGAGTGGATTAGTTAATGCTTTTAAAGTGCTTTGTAGATGAAAAGTGATGGAATAAATAGCATTATCAGTAAAGAAACAGAATTTGTGTTGATATTTTAAATGCATCTATGTTTTAGTGAGGACCTTAAGGATTGAAAGAAGCGTATCTGAAGACCCAGTAGGTTTTGAAGAGTGCATTGAAAAAGGTAAGATTCTGAATCTGAAGCAGTGGGGATTCTATGGGAGTAATGTTGATCTTTTTCACTGAGCCATTTTAACCCCATGTCTACCTGCTGAGTAGGTAGTCGAGTGGTTTGATGATTATTTTATTAGACATTAATGTAATAGTCACATTTAAGTGAAGTTTGTGAACACTGCTGGTCTCTGTAGCAGTTTGGAGATGTAAAATGCTATACAAGGGCTAAAAGCACTACTTGTGCACTCGCTTTTATGTTCCAAAAATGAAAAACAGACTTTCAAAGCATAATAGAGTACCGTTTCCTGCATTGTTTGGTTGGTTTGTTGGGTTTTTTTAATGTCCCTTGAGTGACATTTTATATAACAGTGTAATGAGTGGGATACATATACACTGGGATACTGCAAAAAAGTAGTTGTTCTCTTAAATCACCTTGTAAAAGAACACAGAAAAGAACAATTTCTGTATGAGGTATAAAAGTTCATGGTCCTTAAACTCACTTGAACTCTGAAGTCCAGCGTTGCACACTGTTCTTCATTATCTGCTTTAAAATATCTTTCCTAGATTTGGAACACACAGAAGGACAGCTTCAAAAGGAAGAATTTCCAGTGAGTATTTACAGCCTGCGTCAGTAGTGGTTCATGAAATGGGATGTCTAGACTAGCTGGGGAGAAACCAAAACATGTCTTTATTTACAGTTATTGCTAAGTTGATGTTTGAGACAGGAATTTGTAGATCATGGTATGAAATTGCACTTCCCGACTGCTCCTTTGTAGATTATGGTATGAAATTGCATCTGCCTACTGCTTGTAATCATGTGAAAGAGCTCTTTGCAGGAGCTTGGCAGTTCTTCCTCCTTCAATTGTTGCCTTTGAGGCTGCAGGATTCGGGAGAGATGGGACTTACGCTGAATTCCTGTCATCTAAAGAAACTCTGAAGCTGGCTACATGTATTAAAAGAGCTTGATTTGTGTGTGATTTGAAAACAGACAGAAGTATCTAGATCCTTCAGGGTAACAAACTTCTGCAAGCATTGTTTGGTAGTTCTGTTACTACGAAGAATGCAGTAACATCTTTTTTCCTTCTACAGCTTCCTGAATTCCAAGCCACTTACTTACGTTTCATCATCAAATCTGCCTTCGATCACTTTGTATCAGTGCACCGGGTGATGGCAGAGGGCGCAGCAGAAAACACTTAAGTCTGGCTTAAATTTGTACCTTCATTTTTGTTATATACAGAAGTTATATTTTGATATCTGTAGTGCAGAGGATATTTATCGTTAAAACCTTGTATTAAAGTGTTTTTTGAAGATATTGGTGTAGTTTGTGTTCCTCACTGGTTTAATGTATGGTATGGAATAGAACAGAATCATTTAGGTTGGAAAAGACTTTTAGGATCATTGGGTCCAACCACAGTGAAGTACCCTTAATTGTTAATTGTAGTAACAGCTTTTGAGTTTTATAACCCAGACTGTTACCCTAGAACCCTTGAATATAGAATCATAGAATGGTTTGGGTTGGAAAGGACTTTTAAGATCATCCAGTTCCAACCCCTGGCCATGGGCAGGGACACCTCACACTAGGCCACATTGCCCAAGGCTCTGTCCAGCCTGGCCTTGAACACTGCCAGGGATGGGGCATTTACCACTTCTTTGGGCACCCTGTTCCAGTGCCTCAGCACCCTCACAGTAAAGAACTTCTTCCTTATATCTAACCTGAACTTCCCCTAAGTTGAAACCCATCACCCCTTGTCCTGTTGCTACAGTCCCTGATAAAGGATCTCTTCCTGGCATCTTTATAGTCCCCCTTCAGACACTGGAAGCTGCTCTGAGGTTTCCACACAGCTTCTCTTCTCCAGGCTGAACAGCTCCAACTTTCTCAGCCTGTCTCCATATGGAAGGTGCTCCAGCCCCTGATCATCCTCCTGGCCCTCCAATATAACTGGACCCATTTAAATTAGTGTGTTTATCTCAGACTTTCTTAATATATGAATTAAAACCTGATTTCCTGGGAAAGGTTTCCTTTGCACTTTGAGTTAAATAGGAAAAAAAAAGGTGTGAAATACTTAAATGGGAAGTAGTACTTCCTACTGCCAAACAAATCCTTCAGAAGTTCTTAAATTAGTAACTTCCTCAACTCAAAGGTTAATAGGATAAATATAATATAAACATCTACTAGTGTCTGGAAATAACCCAGAGGGGAAGAGGAACAGGGTGAGGAGGGAAATAATCCGAAGCCACATGAAGTGCTGTGGTAGGTTTTTAATAGTTGCAGATCAATCCCTTGTTTCTATAAACATTTTCCACAATCGGGTCACAGCCGTCCCTGCTTTAAGCTGTGACTGTCACAACAAATATTAATAGAAACAAATGGTGACAGAGATTGTCCTCCTCAGAAGCCTGCTGAAGTCCATGAAAGTGAACGTTTAGGAGAGTTCTATGTATACAAGAGAATCCTCAGCCTGTGAAATGAGCTCTTTTGCAACGCCAGTTGGCTTTTGGAAATGGCACCAGCCCTCAAGTTTATCCCGCATGATATTCCTTACAAATGTAAACGCTGGTATCGAGTCCTGACAGCTCAGTGGACCCAACCACTATTCATTACCGCATGCGGTGTAAGTGTAGTAAGATACTACAGTGCAGTAGTTGGGGTTGTAGCAATAAGACTTGAAAACCTCTGGACAAACACGTAATGAACCACTTCACAGATGCTCTTTGGATGCACACGCAGGATTCTTTTCCTTGTTGTCTCCTGATGTTTTTAAATTCTTTATTTCCTTATGTTTATGTCTAGGAAACCTTACTCATTGAGCTTTCTTACCCAGACAGTCTTTACTGGGAAATCCTCTCCTTTTCCGATTTCATTTTTTCCAGGATGGCACGTATTTCCTGGGGGTGATAATTCCAAGGCCCCACTCCTCCCTGCAAAGGCAATGAAATTATACAGTCACAAGCAGACAGAGCACAAGTCCTTTAGCACACAGCAGCTGCAGCAGGACCGCAGGTAGGTGTGTTTGGGCTTCCTTTGCATGGCAGCCATTGTGTGGTACAAAGTGTATGCACAGGTTACACCCTGTTTATAACTGTGACAGGGCCAGGACCTGGATCCTGGAGCTGGAGAGTGTTACTGTGTCTGAACTTAGGTGTATCTGGGTTTCCTAATGAGCCAGAAGATAAATATTTGAGCAAGACTGAGGTGTATGTCAAGTGTGTACATTGAAAAGCCCAGGCTGGTTTTGCTTCAAGTCCTTTCCACAGTTACAGTGAACTAGGAATTTTTTAGCTCTCAGACAGAATGAAATTCAGTTAGATGTGAAACATTCCCAAATTACAGAAATTTAAATATCTCAATATATTGTGCTCATTATTACTGTTGATGTTTTTTACCTTGTAGACAACCTTCCCTTCTTGAAGTAAATACAGTCGTTCTGGCAATGCAGCGTATTTTGCACTGCTCAGGTTTTCCATAGTGTCTAAAACCACTGGACATAAAGGATCATTTTTCTGAAGAAATTGGGCTGCCATTTTTCGATCTTCAAGGCTTCTGTGATTTTTAATAACAACATTGTTTTTAAAAGCCCATCCATCTAAAAAATGAGAAAGGGAGTTAGCAAGGAACATTTGGAGTAGGTGTTACGGGTGGAGATACACTGTGATAGAAAGATATCAGGTGGGGGATGTGTATCCTATTTGGGTAAGGTTTGTCAAAATGATGGGCACAGAGAGGATTTTAAAATGGTAAGTAGTGCTATTGGCTGACACCCCTTCATTTAGCACAGTCACAACAGCAGCACTGTTCATTCTGCTTTGTTCTGCTCATTAAGCCTATAAACCAGAACTTCAGCTCTGTGAGAAGTGGAGCATTTCAGCCAGGGCTCATCTTCCTTTTCCAGGAATAATGCAAACACAAGTTTGCATGCAACTGTTCCCAGGGAAGTAGAAACTAGTAAAAGGGTTTGAGCAACCTGGCAGGGGGTTGGAACTGGATGAGCTTTAAGAACTCTTCCAACCCAAACCAGTCTGTGATTCTGTGTCTGAGTTTCTGTTTCTCAGCTACCGAAAGTGATGTGTTGTTAGAAAACTTGAAAACTGTAAATGTTAATGGCTTAGAAAACCACCTCAAGCCTGGGATATAATCAGTGCCAGTGTGTTACTTGGAGTTCAGCATAGATAAAAGAGTTTGCTACATTTTTCAGATGGGACTCTGCATCCTCATCCTGATCTTGAGACATGTTGAAAATGAATTATTAAAAATGAATTATTAAAAAAACCCCACATAACACACTGGCATTTTACACTTAACCTCTGTTCTATGAAATGCCTTTTTCTTTTTCCTTCCAAAAGGAGTTGCACTAACATTGAGAGGAAGGTTTGTAAGGATATATGTGTTTCACTTTCAGAGAGATGAGTGTCGTCAGCAGGAGTACCTCAGTGTAAAGTTAAACCTTTGTGGAGAATTAGGGACACAAACCAGTGTGTAGATTTGGTGTTGCCACTTTGAGGAAGATTTTTTCCCTGTCTGCAGTTCCCTCCTTTGCCAAAATACTTTTCTTCTTAAAGGGACTGATCCATGTCTGAAGTTTTGGTGGGTGTTACTGTGGTGTTTGTACTGTACCTACGGCGTGAGCTTCTTCAATGTAGATGATGAGGAAATCTGCTATTGAGCTGAAATCTTGGATGAGCTTGTTGAACTCGTGAAATTTTAACATAAATGAAGGTCAGGTGCAACTTCCAAAATTCAGAATTAAAGGCCGGTTGTCTGGAAAAAAAAATGGGACAGTTTGTGGTTAAGTCAGTGGAGGGAGAAGGGGCAGAATTAAATACACACACTGAATTCAGCCTCTGACACGGAGTTTCCTTGCCAGCAGGCAAGTCACTGAAGTCCCTTGTCCCAAGAAGAAAGTTATGGGATATTAAAATCAGCAGCAGGACATCTGCATCTATGCAAAACAAGTATGAAGATGCTTTATTTTCCCTAGTCTGGCTCTGCCCTGTGCTGGAACCAGCAATGAGCTTATCCCAAGGGGATCCTTTCTTTTTTAGAGCCACAAAAAACAGGAGGCAGTCACATCATGCAGTCACACGGCTTCTCCCACGTCCTCCTCATCGGATCCAAATCTCAAGTGACCACTCTTTCAGGATAGGGAATTGATCTAAAATGTATATACAGCACGCAGCATATTGCAGCCTCCCCAGGATCCTTGGGACTTCAGAAATCCTAAACATGACCACCTGTGAGGTTTTTCAGTGGTTCAAGGATGGACACACAAGCACAGATCTCTTTTAACGAACCTATTGGACATGATTTGTTTTCAGAGGTGTCAAATCCAGCTGGGCACAGGGGAAGCTGCAGATTTTCAAGTCATGCATTACAGGCTTCAGTGCATTTCTGCAATGCCCTGTCCAAACACAACTTTGTTTGTCTCTTACTATTTATTAAACTAATGTTACGCAAGCCACTAGCAAAAGTTGCTTGCAAATTAACACAGCATGTGCCCACAGGCGTGAGCATCTCTTTGCAAGGCCTCGATTTAGTAGCACTTGCAGGATATTAAAGCACCTCTTTTAGTCTGTGGTTATGCTGAATTATCTGAAATTTGTTCAAGATCTTCCTTCTGGCTGGGCTTAACTTCAAAAACTGCTGTTCACATGGATCCGTGTCCTAAAGGATCTAATGAAGTGGGCACCTTCGTGGAGATATTGTGTATCTCCTCCAAATTTGCATCCTATTTTCTGCGTAAGTGTATGTATATAATTAGAAAAACAGAGTTAGAGAAGGATGTAATGCCTCCAATGGGGATCAAAACTACTGCTTAATGATTAATTCCACATTCTACAGAGGTCTGGGTGGGAGGCAGTGGACAAAGTACAAGGCAGCTGCTTTTCTTCTGCTTTATTTGTAGCCATGTTGGATCTGGGAAAAACCCCCACCGTGTGCTTTCTCAGCTCTAAGCCAAGGGAGCTGGTGTGGGGCTTTCTGTCAAGAGGAAATGGCCTCAAGCTGCACCAGGGGAGGTTTAGATCGGATATTAGGAACAATTCCTTCCCAAAGAGGGTGCTCAGGCATCGGAACAGGCTGCCCAGGGCAGGGCTGGAGTCACCATCCCTGCAAGTGTTCACAAACCATGTAGATGAGGCCCTCAGTGCCAGGGGTTAGTGGTGGCCTTGGCACTGCTGGGGAATGGTTGGACTTGATGATC